ATAGCTAGCTAAATATTTTATTCGAAAAATTATCAACCGACATTTCAAGTTATTTTTTAGGTAGTTTCACCTATTTTTTAATGTTTTAAGATGTACAACAAATTAGAATGTTGCCCAACAACAACAACAACAAAAATCGAATGTACTGAAGCTAAAGGTTATAAGGTTATGTGTTGGTTAGTTCTAGAACAAAGCACGGGAATCGAACTCCGGATATTAGTGTTGTAAGTCTGTAAACTTACCGCTGACCCTCCGGGGGATAGTTAGACGAGACTAAAAGACGAGATTTGTGCTATTCGGGTAGAAGAGGTTTTAGTAAGTGAAATTTTTTTCCCCATTTATGTGTGTGTGTGTGTGTGTATGTGGTTATCGTAATGAAATTAAGCTTGAAGGTAACTGTTAGATAAAACTGTTCATAAAATACACTTGTATAAATAAGTAAAAAAAACTTACTCTTTTAAACGATGCTGCTACTTCAATTTCTGTAGCAAGTGTTTCATTTTTATGATTAAATTTTCAACAGGATTCGTGTCGAAGAAGCAAAATCTGCGTACATTTTGGATTTTATAACAAAAAATAACTGAGAAAGTACAGCATTTTGTTTGTGTGTATATAAGTCCCAGAGCGTTTTCTGAGTTACTAATATACATGCATATATATATATATATATAACAAACATTACAATACAGTTAAAGTTAATTAATTATTTTCCATTATCATCTTAGTTGTCAACATTCATAACTGATAATGTCTGGGGTCATAACACCCAAACGGCCCGGCATGGCCAGGCGGTTAGGGCGCTCGACTCGCAATCTGAGGGTCGCGGTTTCGACTCCCCATCACACCAAACATGCTTGCTCTTTCAGCCATTTGGGCGTTATAATGTGACGGTCAATTCTACTATTAGTTGGTAAAAGAGTAGTCCAAGAGTTGGCGGTGGGTGATGATGACTAACTGCCTTCCATCTAGTCTTACACTGCTAAATTAGGGTTTGTTTGTATGCTTGTTTGTAATTAAGCACAAAGACTACACAAGGGGCTATCTGTGCTCTGCCCACCACGGGTATCGAAACCCGGATTCTAGCATTGTAACTACGCAGACATACCACTGCGCCACTGGGGGGCGCTAAAGTAGGGACGGTTAGCGCAGATAGCCCTCGTGTAGCTTTGCGCGAAATTCAAAACAAACAAACAAACAAGCACCCAAACGCGTTGAGGATATTCCATCTATTTGACAAAACTCCAGATGCTGATGTTCAGACGCTATATTTATATATATATAGATTGAATAGACTTCGATGATAAGATCTGCTGTTCATATAAAGTTTCCTTTAACTTTACTTTTATGATAAATTTTGACTCTAGCTAAGTTCGAAACCTAAGAAGAAAATAAATTTGATTTTCAGATTAGAATCAACGTTACTTTGCCCGTAGTACTGATTAATTGTTTGTTGAATTTCGCCCAAACTAATCGAGGCTTACCATCTCTAGCCATCCCTAATTTAGAAATGATAGACGTAAGGGAAGACAGCTAGCCAACACCATCCACCGCCAACTCTTGGGCTACAACAATCGAATAGTGTGATTGACCGAAACAATGTAACATCCACACGGTTTAAAGGGCATGTCACCGGATGATCGCTATTTTGAACATACATCAAATGCCATGAAAGGTAGCAACAAAATGGAAATTAAACATCCTGTCTCACTGAAACCATTAACCATTTCTACTTAAAAACAAACAAACAATCTTTAAGTTCCATTAAACCCATAATTTAATACGATACACTGGCTGCCTTTCCTTTGTGCATGATGGGAAGGGTGAAGAATGGGTAGGCTTCCAGCACTGTGTTTATGTGTGTTATATACTACATAGTTTATATTTTAATTACAGAATCAAGACGAATGGTTAGCGTCTTTCAATGCTTAAATGTTTGGAAAGCATGCATGTATTTAAACACATAGCTAGAAATAATTAAATAACTATAACACATATATAGTCCTGGTCACACGATTAAATTTTCTCAGTTTTGTACAATTGTGTAACATAAAATAATTCAAACTTCAGGCGATGATTTAAGATCCGTCAACATGTCGCTGGTCTTTGCTACGTCGTTGTTACAATGAAGAGAGACACTCTTCTCTTCCTCTTCCCATTCACTTTCGTCCGAGCTTGTGAAGTAATCCTCATTTTCTAGACGAAGTTGGTCCTGTTGTACAAACTCCTCAACACGACAGTTCTGGTCTGGAGCTGGGTCGCCTTGCTGTAGAGATATCATGCAGTTAGGGCTAAGGTGTCGAGTAAGAGCAGATCTTGGCATTCCGAAACTTTCTGCGGTCTGTATATTGGTTACAACAATTATCTTTTGTTTGCTTCCTGTGACGTCCATGGGATTATTTATACAAGACATTGTTCGACAGATGGCGGTAGGATTAGCAATTAGAGAGGAAACAACAGATACCAAAAGCTCAACTATGGCCGCAATAATAGCATTCCCGCCAACCCGTGCCGTTTGGTTAAAGTTTCTCGGGATAGAGTGAAATTCTGCTATGCCAAAGCAACTAAGAATAAAGAATATTAGTGCTGCAATCATGGACGCAAACGAACAGCCAAGAAAAAGCCTTTTCGTTATGTAAAGGTGCCGATATTTCCAAGAAAGTATTCCGGAAATTCCCGTCATTTGGAAAATCATTCCGCACCAGATGCCAGTTCCTGAATAGTTGGCATCATATTCCACCAACAATCCCAGAATACCCAGTACGAGACTTAGGAAGCCTAGGCCTAAATGAAGAAGAGCACAGCCTAGAGTGGCATCTCGAGTCCAGTCTCCGCTGTCGCTAGATGTTTCTGAGGAGTTGTTCGAAGGTAGACCTTTCAATCGTATTACGTAGACTTCCTCCATCTTACTGCCACCTGGTGAGACAAAAAGGAATTTCTGTGACTAGTTAATTGAAATAATTTAGTAAAAGAATGTAATATAATTCACAAAGTGACACAAATAGATTAGCTGATATTTCATGAAATAAATCCTGACATTAATGATCATTTATAAAATCAGTTTTTGTGCATCCTATTCAAAATAATAAAGTAGACTCGGAAGAAATATTATGAAGCATTTTATCTTTAAAACGAAACGTTATAATATTAAAATAATATTTCAGTGTTAAAAAAACCACAAAGGAAAGAAAGCTATTCCATAAAGCGCCACAAATATACAAATGAAAAATCAAAATATCAGAAGAACATATTTTTCTTTTATTTAAGAAGAAAACATGATACTACTGGTCCCCTAGTGAG